ACGAGGGCTTGGCATTCGCTTCCCTTGAAGCCGCGGACGTGCTGTCCGGAATTGCACCGCGTGGGTATTCGCAATTTTGATGAGGGAGAGTGTACCGGGGTTATATGTACCCTGGTATGAAGGGGTGGGTCACACAAGATGTTGTGACCACACAATGGCGTGGCTACACATTAAGAAGAAGCCACTACGTGGCGGGACTGTCAGTAGTTATGCATTATTCAGGCTTTACTATTTGATATAAAAATACTCATAGATTTGGATGTAGGCGGCTCTGTTGCAAATAAAAAATAAGAAATACAGCACACATGGTGAACGGAAGAGTTTGTTTGCCTTGGGTTATCGTAATGGGTACTCTTGGAGTTAGCGGATTGCAATTAACTACACACATATTGGTTCTAGTATAGCGGAAATACAGTCATGGATGATCCAATTCTTGAAAAATTTAGACAGTGTGTGGAGTCACGCAGAAGATCTGCTATTTTAAAAGATCCAACTGATCCATATTATCCACTTGTTTATTGAATACAAGGGAGACGTCCTTAGCGCGAATCCGCCCTCTGGTCTTCCACCCGAAGGGTGATTTCGACACGAAATTCATCGTGAAGCTGCTTCAAAGCATGTATTGATTCGATAGTGGCCACTATTGCGTAAACAAAGTGAGTAATTCGATGAGTTCTTATGTAAAAAAAACAGCTAAGTCCCCTCACAGCGCACCGACATTCTGTGTGCGTAAATGCTCACACCTATAACAGGTTGAATGCGCAAACTTTTTTCATTCACGAGCAAACGCCAATTCCGCGCAAGGATGCTATCATCCACCGCTGTCCGGCTGCACACAGTTTTGGTGTTCGATTTTGTTGACGGATGTTTATAAATCTTGATGAGGGATAGGGACGTCCCTTTGACGCTGTAGATACACCGTCCGGTATGTTATGGGAGTGGCTTGTGATGCAACAAGGACTATCCAATGCACCAGCAACATTCGATCGCTTTGTCTCACATCTGTTTTGCCCTCTACGACGCTTCCCACAATCCTATTTTGACAATGTTTCGTTCGTTGGAAAGACGAAGATAGCAGATCTGCTAAAGAAGTGCACACAGATCACCGGTGGAACGTATGCATGAACAATCATTGCAAGCAATACTTCAAAGTGCATTTTCGGTGCTAACGAAGTACCGTTTTTATGTTGGTAAACACGGTGCTCGTGCATACCCTGAGAGGGCCAAAATAATTGTGGAGTGGCCAACGCCATGAAATCAGAAGGATTTGGGACAACAGATTGGTTTGGTCAATTACCTGCATCGCTTCTCACGTAACAACGCGGGAATAATATGCCCACTATCCAAAATGCTGAAGAACGACATATCGTGGATGTGGTCATTCACTGTTGAAGAAGGATTCACTCAAATCAAGTATATTTCGATGGAAGCATTGTTACTTGCTTTACCAGATGATACGAAGCCTAGCGTGATGTGTAACGCTTCTGAGTTTGCAATCGGTTGTGCTCTATTGCAAAAGGACTCAGAAAGATACGATCGTGTTGTGGCGTTACAATCGCGACAGCTGAAGACAGCAGAAAAGCCTCCTTTTTCACGACAAAAAGATTTCGGCAAAGAAGTTTGCTCTGGTGAAGTTTCGTGTTCACCTCTGGGTCAAATTTGTTTGTCGTCTGCACAGATCAGCGATATGCAGTTCAGTCGCCTCACTTATCACAGCGTATGGCTCGCTGATTGTCATTTGTCATTCTTCGCAGAATACAAATTCACGGTCGTGTGCAGGCCAGTGAAACTGAAGTGCTGGCAGATCCTCCGTAGGAGCTAGCACACATTGGCAATATCGAAATCGATGTATTTGTTATGATATGTCGAGCGTATGTAGAGGATGAACAGTATGATCTGATCATCAGAGCACTGTCATCAAGTGACATGAAAATACATGACAGGCTTCCTGGTCACTTGAAAATTTAGGCCTCATCGTCATGCATGAAAGGATGGTCTCCTTTGCTATGAAGTCAGACATGACAACGAGCCGCGGATTGTGGTTCCCCACAACGACGAACTGAAGCACAAGATCGTGTACGAGACGCATGATACGCCTATGGCCGGTCACTTTGGCCGTTAGAAGACTTGCCAATCTCTCAGTGCCCAATTTTAGGGCCCCCCATGTACAAGTGAGCTAGACGATACATGACGACATGCAATGTCTGTCAGTGTGTGATGAGCTTACGGCACACACAAGTGTCACTTCAGAGTCTTGTAGTTCCTACTGCCTGTTGGAAGGCCGTCGGTCTCGACTTCATTTTCGGTTTTCCTAAGAATGGTGATGGCCATATGGAATACTCGTCTTTGTTGACAGACTCAGCAAGATGGTTCGAATCGTACATTGTTGCGATTCCATCAATGCCAAATGTTCAGCTAAATTGTTCATTGATTATGTTTTTCACAATCACGGGTTGCCAGGTGTTATCGTCTCTGATCGTGATGCACGATCGACGAATGACTTTTGAAAGAACTGCTCCAGATTCTTGGCACTTGCTTGAATATGTCCACAGCGGTACACCCGGATACCGAAGAGTAAACAAAACGTGCTAGTGGTCGTAATGTGTTGAGAAGCATCTGTGCGCAAAATTCCACAGAATGAAGTTCGTTGTAGCCATTAATTGAGTTTGCTTTGAATCTTTCGCCTTTCTTTATGGATGGCTTGCGACCCCAGCAAGTACCGCTTTGTGCGATGGGTGGTGTCTCTGATGTAAGTGGGGGGGATCTCGGCAAATATTTGCTTTCTATATTGTTACAATCAATGTTGCGGATGTGAAGCGCGAGTACAAGGACACCTTACATTCATTCATCATGAGTCGTTTGAATGTGATCAGACGGGAGCGAGACGCGATGAAGAATGCGTATAATCTGCGAAAGATATACGCAGCTAGACGAGGTCGTCAGGGCAAAATGTCTTCTATTGTTGGAAATTGTGTAGAATGAACCATCAGATGATGCAGTCTCAAACTTGGGAAGCTCGAAGTTTACTTTGATTCAGTCCATTCCTAGTAGTGTCATGCAATGGGAATGCGTGCACTTTCGACTTGCCAAGCTGGCTAAGGACACACCCAATATTCTACGTAGTGCTCCGCAAGCTTTATATGCGACTTCCAACCTGGATGTAACGCGGCCTTATTCGAATATGGCTTCAGAGTCACAGCTTCGGGACGAGGGTCAAAAGGTGGACCCTTGGCGTCGTCGCCTCAGCATCATCCTCTTAAGCACGAGGATTACCGCTGACTTCGGGATCAAACAAACGATCGTGAGAGTCGGAACGTCGACAAGAAGCAAATGGCTGCTGAATGCGCTGTCGATTACTACGGGAAGCATATTCACTCAAACTAGTGCGGTGCCGCCTGGAAGGGGCACCAAATCATCAATGACAGCAGCCGCAGCTAGGCGGAAAACTTGCAGAGTCCGCCCCAATCACATAATCCGATTCTCGATCGCATGAGATCACGTCGAGAACGCGGTGGCGGAAAGAAACGTCGGAGGTGGGAAGGAGATCCTTGTGAAATGGCTGGACTATCCAGCGAGCGAGAATATGTGGGAGCCACGGATTCGTATTCGTCGCGAATTTCTCTATATCGCTTTCGCGTTCGACGCGAATCCGAAGACAGATTTCACTTAGGGAAGCTGTCCCTTCCTCTTCTACTGCTGTCTCTCTCGTCGTGAATTCGACTGATCACCGAATGTAATTCACGAGCATCCTCAATATCAGAGTGAACCCGATTCTGCGCTGTCAAAATTGCAAATCAAAACGCATATCGCGTGCCCCCAACAAGTCTGCAGTGGTGCTCGCGCGCGCTTCGCAAGCGGTGGATATCCACGGATTTGGTTGCCTGGATGAAATGCAGGCTAGATTGCTGGACGTATTGTACATACGTGGGGCTTCATGGTTCATCTCCAGCACGAGTAAGCGGTCCGATGGCGCGAAAATTCGCGATTTGAGTCATCAGTTGAGCACCCATTCGACTTTAGAGTTTGTCGAACTCTTGGGTATAACCACCACGTCAATTGTGAAAGTCATCATGAATGATGTGAAATTGGATCATTAATTAAGTTCGATGGTGGCAAATATATAATATAGATCAAGCGTATGGGTTGTCACTCTAGGGAGAGTTGGACAGAGCGTGACGAAGAGCGTGAAGAAGCCTTGAAGAAACTTGGAATCATTTGGGTAAAGTCACTCTTTAGGGAAGATGGTGTAATGAATGGTCCAGGTCCCATTACACATACACACAGTATGTGTACCAGATCTTTGTGTGTGTTAAAAATTATCCCGAATAGTTGAATATCCCCCTCCAATTCTGTTGTAGTTGAACTAGAGCCACTTATCAGGTTTGGTTATTTTAAAGCCAATTGGCTATTATAATTAATGTCACTTCACCTTTCTTTACGCAAGTCAACGGCTAGCTTGAAGTGAGCAACACGCGGTGAGGCGTCCTCAGTAAGTGTGCGTACACGGACGGGCAATTTCCGTTACAATTCATCGACATATTTACGTCAGTATTTTAAACAACTACATTCAGTCGGTGCATCAGAAATATCGAACCGGAAAGTTGCGCGGTGTACCCGCATAAGTGTGATCGAAGAGGTCACAATGAGCGGACATGCACGGAAATCAAACTGAGAAATCTTTTGAGGCTTGATGTAATAATATATACGTCAAATTTTGTGATCATGACCCTATTTCAACGCATCAACCAATACAACTTATTGCAGACCTTGGCTGATTTTGTGGGTCAGGAACAAACCCGACAATTCACACTTTCTGTGTGTAAGTTAAACTACATCCTCTGATATCACTTACAGACTTGAATGGAAGACGATCATATCTGAAGCATTTGCACAATAACTTTAAGCTGCTTTAATTTAATTCTCTCGATAAATTTAAAATTTAACGATGCGCAGTTTCCCCGTAATACATAATAAATTAAATGTACTTAGTCCACTGACAATTATGAAAAGAACGTTTCGCCAGTTTGTTTCGATAAAAAGCGCTTCACTATCGCAGGTATGATATGAAAGCCGCTTGATGACCTTGGACAGCTCGTGTAGTCTTCACGCACATTGTAAACGAGCTCATTGATGAATGAGCTGAGTATAGCTTTGCGTTCTTCGGTCGTAGTCGTAAATTTGACCCTCAGACTAGGTTTACATGGCGTCATATGCAAAAAATCCAACACACTTGTGCAGTACGCGCACGCCTTGCAGAGAGGATGGTGCTTACGTGCGCTGTGCGAGACGTTCGAGCGCAATCTTGCAAAGCTCGAGTAGCGTTGCTCAATGTGGTAATCAGGTTTTCTGTTTTGTGGCTCACAATCTGCCAGCCGCTTGGAAGAATTTGAAAATAACTTACGACGGCTAGATGGTAGACCCTTTTGCTGGCGATAAAGGTACACATCGAGTACAAAGTAGCTCGTACCTTCCTCTCGGGTAATAACTTCGCGTATAGCAATATACTCGATGCGCGATAGACACAAGCGAATTTCCATTGCCCGTGACACTCGCTGTGGGTACACCGTGACAGGCGCCAGCTGCAGCTCCCGCAGCATCAGTCTCTCTGACGTCAACAAAGTCAACAGTCTGGTGGTCACTGGTGAGCCTTTTGTGTCCTTCCTCTGGCTAAGAGTTGCAGTTATAGAGTGCAAGTCGACACTCAACGCCGTTAGATCCTGCTCATCCTCTACGGCGTCCTTGACGGCCATCACTCTGCCAGGTTTAAAACCTAGAGACATGCAAACCGTCGCCCCTATACGTTACGTTCTACGAACCATAAATAATTTACGAAACAATAGGTAATTGCGTTACATACTATATATAGTGTATAAATAAGCTGTAATTTTCAAAAAATGCAATCCACGGAGTTGTCACATATATTCAGTGTGTAGAAAAGGATTATTCCGAATGCAAGGTATCACTAACAGATCTGAGGTTCTCGCAACTCTGGCTTGCAATGTAATTATTCCCATGTGATTCCCGTTCCAGCACATGATAAATACAAGCCACACTGAATCTTATAATATATTTGGGATGCTGCGCTCAAGAGATAGGAATCTGCCAATACCTACTGGCAGAACAAAGTTATACACCATTCCTCGTCAGCAAATGAATGTTGAAGAAGCTGAAGAAGAGAAACTAATCATGCTAAACTGCTGGACCCTCCACCACGCTTCAGTGAAGTTGAATATCGAATAATCAACCTAAAAATAAGATTATAGAGGTCGCAACGAAAGATGTGGCACATTTTCGTACTCGGTTCCTTGCTGTGCAAAGTATGCACAATTATTGAGAATTTTGGCAAAGCCTTCAGCAATTACATCATTAAATTGACTCACAGGAGTGCATACGCCAGCCCAAGACATGTTGCCTATATAAGTCCATCATCGGAATCACTCATTAATAATCGAAACAAGAAGATTTGACTCTGAGACGCTCCAGATCGAAGGCAACTTGTGCGGATCCCAATAAAATACCGTCAAGGCGTTTTGCAACGTTTTTCATTTGGAAATAGATACTATTGACATCCAAGCGAATGAAAGCAAAACGTATATCTATTCACCGATTTTCTGCCTAGTGATCGGAAAAACTTTTACACGAATATTCATATACACACAAATGAACTCACGAACAGGCCACTTATCAGCTGATTCGCCTACCTCGCCGACATCTTTTGATTTACGCTCAGCGAATTCCTCTTTACTCTTGATCTATGCGTGACCATTCTCAAAACAAGGGCTTTTTTTTTGGCGGCGATTGGCACACGCTTTTCCACCAGAAATAAAATCAGCGAGGCCCTTTTCTTTGATGACTCCTTTCTGCTGATTAACCTCCATGGCTGGCTTATTATTGCATTCCGTTCAAAAGACAGAAATCTCAAGACCAGATCCGTACTGGTTGTTAAAATGAGTCCTCGTTCGGCTCCAATTGCAATTGCACAAAGTGGTAAACCCCGTTTGCCAGTCCTTCCATGAGGTTTCCACGCCTCAAACAAATATTTCAACTTCTCTGTCTGCACTGAAAATTCCCTTGCACAAATCGTTATCTCGATGCCTCCAAGTACTGTCTAAAAATGTAACCAAGAATACAAACTGACCTTTGATCTAACAGTTGTTGAAATGGCTGTCCTTCGTTACACTCTTGTCCATGGCGAGAAGTAGCGAATGCGCGCAACCATTTCACCGACTTCACCAATTTTACTGATGTTAAATACTTACACAAGGAACAATTTCTTAAAAAACGGCAAGTTTCACTGCGACAAGACATTTTTCTCTTCATGCCATGCTTTCATTGCACCAAGCTTAAGTATTGGGTCAGATATGCTAAAACTGCCATTGAAACTGCGACTACTTTCAATGCCGATGTCGACGCTAGGTAGGAACCTACACTCACTCGACAGAGCATCAAAGTGATGTCAAACATCGTTGCTTTGGTCTCCGGCCCTGGAGGAAGCCCAAGTTGCAATAGAGACTTGATCATGCAGTGATGTTGTATGTTGCAAATTAGATTCAGCTCCACCAGTAAATGTGCTGAACCATATTGGACGACCCATACGCTTCAACGCATTCCAAGCCTCGTCCACATTATTGAGTCATACCAGGTTGATTTTGTGAACGCGAAATGGCAAGACTAAAAGGATGACGACGGTAATAGTTGAAAGTAATACATTCTCGTAAATGCTGAGTTTACAATTTGGTCGAACTAATTTCGCAAGGAATCGGAAAAGAAATTTTTCCACTCTCTGGTTCGAACCTTCCGAACCATAATGAAGCTGTTTTCAGGTTGCTTACATCTTCCATGCTGCCTGTAGACCGCATTGCGGCAATAGAATATCTAAATAACCAAAAAGTCAGTGTATCACTCGTAATTTCCGTTTTGATCGAAATGTAGATAATCCGCTCACTAGTAGTGTAGTTTTGCCAAAGTAACAAAGTCAAGAGCAGCCCCATTTTTTTTCTAATTTGCCTTGGAATGTCACCCATAATGAAATTATCACAAATATCGCTGAGCTTACAATTTTTTAGCAATAAAACGGATGCTACCATGATTGCGGGCTTTAATCGCATGGCTTACATCTCATTGAGATATACCAGTAGATATCCTAATTTATGGGGCTATTTATGCAAATGGCATCAATTGTGAACGGATTTCAATACTTGACTAATTAAAATTGCTTATAATGGAATTCTCATGCCGATGAGTCAAAGAACGGCTGCCCAAATCACCACCTTTCTATGTTACATGCTTCAGTGGAGAAGGGCCGATCCCGCCGGGTACTGGCTCAGTCTGGCTTCTGGTACTTTCTGCGTCAGATGATAATGACGACCATTCGAAATTCTGGACGTCAGCGGATTGCGTCTGCAAGTTTCAATAAGTGAAATTCCTCAAAGTCAGTGGATTTGGGAGATAGAAGTTTTGGCATATGTGATTTTCAGCTTTAAAACGCCATTTATCACAAAACGAGGACTTGTAGACTGTCAGTTCGATCACATTTGTCATGCAGACAAGTGAAAAGAACCGTCATGCGGTCAATAATTTTGATCTCGAGATCCGCTACATTTCGCGTTGTCGGAATGGGTTTCCAGGCTTGACTTTTTTTTCGCATTCAAGCATTGTTCATAGCTTCTCCTTACATCGAATCGTCTATAATAAAACCTTATGAAAGACACCGCCCTCGCTAAATTTCGACTGCTGGTGACTCGGATCCTGTACGCTCTCGCTCTTGGTGTCAAGATCACGATCAATGCGATCAAATCACATATCACGTTCAAGAGCATAATTCCACCATTATTTTGATAGTCTGCATTTTAAAAGATGGCGCCACGAATATCGTGGGAGACTTAGGAACTGATGTTACGTCAGTCAAAAGGCAAGTCACTATTTATGAAGTTCCGGCAGTTTTTGCGAATTCACATAAAAAGTATTGATTATGCAACAGGAGCATAAAATGGCACCAGATGATTAGGGAACAGGGTTTGTAGCACATGTCGTACCGGATTGAATAACCGTACATTGATGAATGGTATACGCAACACGTGCTATTTCCAACATTAGAATTAGCGAAGAGCTCTGAGCGACATAAATCGATTGGCGTCAGTATCGAATTCTCAATTCGTTGATCAAAATGCTTCGCGCCGTCTTTCCGTCCAAACGTGCTTTCCACTTCGTACGTAAGTCTTCTATCGGTATTTTGTCTGGTCGCGAAACACGATCGTACTCCATAGCTTCCCAGTCACAATATGCGATTCCTAAGACCCAAACTGCTGTCATTTACGAGGCCGACAATGCACCACTACAAGTCCGCGACGATTGGCCTGTCGTGCAGCCTGAAGCCCTTCAGCCTGGTGAGATTCTTGTTCGGATTGCTTACACTGGTGTGTGCCACTCGGATCTCTCCGTTTGGGAAGGTGAAGGTCCTCCTGGGGTTAAATTATTTCCTATGATCGGCGGACACGAGGGTGCAGGATATGTAGCTGCAATTGGTGCATATACCAAAACAAAACTCCAAGTAGGTGATGCTGTAGGCGTCAAGTGGATTGCTCAGACATGTCTTGGCTGTGAGGATTGTCTAAAAGGGCATGAAACAACGTGTGGGAATGCAGGAGTTCATGGCCTCACGCACCATGGGACTTTTCAGCAATGGTGTGTCTCTTTCGCAGACCACGTAACTCCTATACCAAAAACAATGGACTTGGCCTCAGCAGCTCCAATCTTGTGTGCCGGTATGACTGTATACAAAGCGTTGAAGCAGATTAATGGGTCACCAGGGGAATATGTTGTGATTCCTGGAGCTGGAGGTGGTTTGGGTCACCTGGCTTGTCAATATGCTCGTGCAATGGGCTACAAGGTCGTGGCAATCGACTCTGGAGATGATAAACGCAAGCTCATCGCATCTTACGGTGTTAACGACTTTATTGATTTCAAGGATGGAGATGTCGTCGATCGAGTCCGTGCTGCAACTGGTGGCCGTGGAGGTCATGCAACGATCGTTGTTGCAGGCTCGAAGGATGCGTACAAGGATCCGTTGATGTATTTGCGTCCTCGCGGCACTCTTGTGGCAGTCGGTGTTCCGAAAGATACGGCTATTGTTGCGCCGATTAATCCCTTGATTCCACTCGAGTATCGTATCGTTGGCTCGTATGTAGGTTCTCGGCAAGACGCCATTGAAGCGATTAACCTTGCTGCTGATGGTCACGTCAAGAGCACGTTTTCCATCGAACCACTTAGAAATCTACCTGATATCTTTGAACGTGTGCATTCTGGCAAAGTACAAGGTCGAGTCGTGCTGGACTGCGAGTAACATTCGAAGAAAGTATCCTGATATTGGAATTTGGGCTTTATAGTAGTACAGTGCCATCTCATTTTTCGGTACACTATTTTTTGGAGCTTAATCATTAACGTGTTGGTGTGAAACAAAAATATATTTCTTTTTTATTAATTGCAGCGCTTAGTATCAGTACATTATTAGATGTAGTCGACACACGTGATCGTGAAATCACGGTCAATGACATTTTCTTCGGTATACAACGTGCATTATAAGCACCTTTGACGTGATCTAGTTGGTGACAGCAATTAAAGTTATTGCGCTGAAATACACCATTATAAATAATGCTGTGCATAAAACAAAAACGTACAAGTTTTGTGCAGACATGGATTGTATCCAGTCGACAGAGTTTCGTGTGGGAAATCATCAAAATGTAAGTACTTGAAGAAAACAACTGCGCGCGTGGTCTTTCTGCCTTATGTGATGAGGTCGTTTGCAGGTTGGCAGCTATTTTTCAAAAATTTGATTGATTTAAAGGGAGGTAAGCTCAGAGGGTGTCCTGGCTCCAGAGTGCAATGGACTTCACCAAAGCATGTGTCGATCAGTACTAGCCATCTAAATAAAATATAGAGTCTGGCGCACTCCATTTCTCGACCGTATTTGCCAAGAAAGATCTAATGCACATCTTTTCTGGGTAAACATGAATTAAAGATAAATTATTTGTATGTGAAGTTTTTCTCGACGTTGTGAGCAACGAGTGTTGGAAGGCCGCTTACCTCTATAATCGAACAATGAGCGAAAGGATAAATAGCTATCTCGGCCTTTCTAATCCAGAGCAGGAGATTCCCTCCATCCTTACCCTCCCATGAGCGGCCTTGGTTGGAAGGAATCGTGGCGTCATGAACGCAGTCGACGCCGACATCTTGTGCTCTAGGTCTAGCAGGGCATTTCGTAGCTTGAAAACCCTCTAGGCGTGCGCTGGTCGATTCAGGTCCTTGCAATTGCACACCCTCAGGGCCAAGCAGCGACATCAGCGCTTTAAGCGTATCCTGCATGCCCTTGGGCAAATATGAAAACTTCTCCATTCTCAAAGAGGGTCAGTCGTAATGACCCAGTTGTGGTTCGACTAAGAGTGCTAGCAAATGCAGCGGGGCTGCCGTAGCTCTTTTGCTAAGATGAAGCTAACATAAGGTTACCGACCTTACGTTCAATACTAGAATCAGTACGAGTGTAGCAGATCGAAATCCGCTTTCTCCAAGATGACCCAAAACCTTGACCCAAGGCAAATAAACTCATCTGTTCAAAATGTTCAAAATGTAAAACGTATTTCTCGGTTTTTTGCGACAAAGCCGCCTAATCTAAATCTATAGGTTTTCCTTATTAGATTGTAAAACCTAATCCAAATGCATAACTACTGGCATTCCAGCTGCGTAACAGCAAACCATATTTACATCGCAACTGCAGAACTTTATGCTTCTATAATTAATCAGCACCAAGATGGTTCCAATGTATATATTCACCCATGCAGTCAGCTTGTTCTGATTGGTGGAAAGAAGGCTAGCGGTTTGTCACATTTTTCTCCGTCATCCTCCACGCCATATTAAAATTGACATATTCTAGTACATGAAAACGCCAGAGGGCGAAACATTGATTACCACCACGTGAAACCATTTTTTTTGATAATGCTACTCTATACTTCCAACCGCTTCAACCCGGACGAGCAAATATGGCACATTACCACAAAGACACGCTGGACAATTCAACGATCACTTTTGTGCTCGACCGCCCTGGCTACCAATCACCGCTATTTTGACGGGAAGCAAACGTGTACGTACTTCTATGTGCGTTACTTTGCGGTCTCACGCCATGTAGCTCTTCGACTCCTACTGTTCGGTTAAATTTACCTGCGACTTCTCGTGGCCGTACTCGCTGCTCCCACCACCGCCACAAAAAAGATGTAAAAGAGAGCGAGTCTGTTATCTAATTTAAGCTTGCAAAAAATGATTCTTTTAGGTCTAGCCAAGCCCCCCACGCCCCAACTCACACTCACTGGCCAGCACTAAGCTCGACGGCTAAATTAATATGCTTGCAAACAATTTCATAAATGGACATTATGAATGCAGCGGGGCTGCCGTAGCTTTGCGCTTTGAGGAAGCGTAGGTTAGGTCACCGACCTTTCGTTCTATACTTAGAGCAGGTACGAGTTTAGCGGATCGCAATCCGCTTACTCCAAGAGTAATTACAACCTTAACCCAAGGCTGATTAACTCTTCCGTATAAATCCAAAAAATGACTTTATTTATTTTCGGCAAAGCCGCTTAATTTTTAATGAATAGATTTCCCTAAATATTAAGTGAAATCTAAATACATGCAGAACAACTGGCTATCCAGCCACGTATCGTATTCTTAATTGGGTGCAGTCACACCGTGCCCTTCTCGTGTGACACACACCCCTGTTACCAGTTACGTGTCACCCCGTTACACTCTCCCCCATTAAGATTGAAAACATTTGCAGCTCCAATCGATTATTGCCTCAACGAGGCTCGTGTATCCGCTAGACACTGCAACTTGGTACGTTGGAACAAAACGACTTCCTTGCTCAATGAGCCTTGTGTCGACGACACGAAAGTCACCAAGTCCGCTGGTTCTGACGTCGAGCACGGGCAGAGCCCAACTTCGTCTCCCGCACACGGTGCGATGTCGGACAGTGAGTCCCCGGCACCGGGAAATGTACATCCTTGGCTCGATGAGCACGAGCGTCGCGCTTTGCGCACGCTATCAATGACGAGTGACCTCGTTGAGGATATGGAGGTGGTCGACTACAAGTCTGATACTCCTTTTCCCCCATGGGATGACGAGGAAGGCGAATCGCGCCAGCGGCGTGATACGAGCCCTGTTCATGCCTTGCGGACCCCATGTCCGTTCCCTGATTTCTCCTCAACCGAGAAACGTGGTGTAATCTCCAA